CATTATAATGTTTTGACTCTGTTTAATAAGCAAAAAGCGTATTAAAGCTTATTTCCTTTACCATGAGAAAAAAAATTAGCCAAATTTCCTTACAAGCAGTTTGTAGCCAGCAGGTAAGGAAAAAGCAGCTAAAAATGCAGGTATCATGCATTAGAATTACATTTCAAACTATACAATAAATAATTTGCACATAATTTTTTTCAGATAATATTTCTAACAGATTGACAAAGTAATAAATCATTATTGGTGAAATCTCCTCTTTATTACAAGCTAACACAATTCACTATTTTATTTGTAACTCTGGTACTTCTCTGAATTTACACAGAGACATCAAACATTTCTGCTGTATACCTGTGTAGCACATCTTGCAAAGAAGAAGGTCTGTAACTGACCAAGACAACTAATTTGTGATGTAAGAATTAGGTCAGTCACCTTTGATGCCACACAACAGGTACGGTTCTACACAAAACAAGCAAATCCAAACCCCTAATCACAACTAACCAACCTAGACCAAAAGAGTAGATTTAAAGGAAATTTCAGTGATTTCAACATGCATGAACATGACAAGATCTTTAAGTGATATTCTGCTTAGCATACACAGTTTCTTTATTAATTGAGACTCTCCAGGCAACAGTGGTAAAAGATAAAATAAAAAGAATGGCATAGAATCCACTATTGCCTGAAGCACCTCAATTAACTTTCTATAAAATTTCCAACTACACACTTAAAGAGAGCATTTTATGATTTTAATGATAATATTCTACATTTCTGATGAGGATAAATTAGTTTGAAGGCAACATATTTCAACAAGATTCGAGATTATTATGTCCTAGCTATGCAGAAAATAATTTTTTCCTATACTCTCCTAGTATTTGCCAGTTCTGCCCATGACTCATTTGTGATAGCAGCTCCCTTTTTCCTTCCCTTTCTGTGTACCCACCTACTATATAAGTTACCCAAGACCATACTTAACTGCTTAATATATGTTGAACAGTGAAACTAGTTAACATACTTTATACTTTAGCGTCCTCCCCTACCAACTAGAAACAACTCACTTTTTCTTTTTACATTTAATACATCTTCATAGCATTTTCTTTTTTATACCCCTTTCAAGTTTCTATATTGGCCTTCAATATGCAAAACCAGAAAAAAACATATATAGAAACTTAATTCAGGCATGGCTGTGGTTCTGTTGTTTCTCATATATTTTTTAAAAATTTCCTGTAAGAAATGTGGCTTTCATACCTGTATTTTCAGCAGGTCTTAAATTGGCTAGAGCAACAATCTGATGCCCAGCAGCAACACACTGCATCATATTGTAACAACTGTCCTTCCCACCACTGTAAGGAAAAGAAAATAGTGGCAATTAAAAGTATAGATAAAAGTTTTAGACCCTTTCAACTTTTAACTAACTGTTCAAAAATAAATATTATCAGAACTGTTTATAAAGTTTTGAAATATGAAGAGCTGTAGAATAGGAACAGTAGAAAAAGAATGATTTCATCATATATTTACTACCTATATATAGTGCCTAAATACAGTAACCATAAAGCACATAAAGAGTTTTGCATTTTACTATTAATCTGAGAGATTACATGAAGAAGAGCCACTGACACTCTTCCAAGACTGTCTTTTATTCCAGAGATTAATTACTCTGTACTCATTACTAGTTAATTTGAATCAAAACCCCAAAATCTGCTCCAGTGAGTTTCCAGCATTAGTAATCCTTTTAAATTAGGTCTGTCATGCAGAGGTGACACCTAGGGACACGTTTTAGTGGTGGACTTGGCAGTGTTAGGTTAATGGCCTGATTCAATACCTTAGAGGTCTTCTCCAACTTCATTGATCCTATGTCAGGAATAACAGTTGACCTTTGTGGGGTATGTTGCCTAAACTTTCAACATTTTGAACATACTTGCCATTCTTAAAAACTTTAATTATTACAGTAGTTTCAGTTGACACTGCATAGAACATACAATTTTTTTGCTGCATTTCACTGCAACTAAAAATTATTAATGCTAGTAAAAAAATATAAAAGCAACATAACCATACTCTTGTTTGAGGCCAACACAGAGAACACAATTAATTTTAACATTAGTTCGAGATCTACAGGAACCTTTTGCACTCTCAGTGAGGAAAGAATCCTGTTCTCTTGATGTAACTGAAAAATTATCTCTGGATTTTAATCAATAGAAAAAGAAACATCACAATCTACAATAAAAGTGCTCTAGAATACACACTGCTTAAAAGATCCATGCTCAGACTCATGGCCTTTGAAGTACAACTGCAGGTGGAGATTCTATACAGTTTCTTTAAATGACAAGGCACAAAAACCATGGCAGGAACTGCAACAGAGATCTATGCAAGCTCTGTAAAACTGCATTTTGGTTTAGAATCACTGAGACATGCACAGGAGAACAAAAGAGTACAAGCAGTCCTTGCTATGATAGACTATTGTGTTTCTTGTGGTCACACTATTACTGTTTCTACCTGAAAGGGAGGTGAAGCAAAGGTGGGGCTTGGCCTATTCACTCAGGAAGCAAGTGAAGGACAAGACGAAATGGCCTCAAGCTACACCAGGGGAAGTTCAAGTTGGACATCGGGAAGAATTTCTTCATGGGAAGGGCTGTCAAGCATTTGAATGGGCTGCCCAGGGAGGTAGTGCAGTTGCCACCATGACTGCACATGGCACGTGGTGCTCTCGTCGAATTGACAGGTGGTGATCAGTAAAATGTTGGACTTGATAATCTTGGAGGTCTTTTCCAAACTAAATGATTCTGTGATTTTGAAACAAACTTCTTCAGAATTTCCAGCTTTAAGCTCTCCCTTTTATTTAGCCCTCTATGCAAGAGCTTGAAAACGCCCTAGAGGAATGTAACCCTTTACTTATTCCCCTCAATCTCTGCTTTATCCATGCAAAAAATTCTGTATGGTGTCTTTAATTTGTTGTGCAATTCAAACCTGAAGTAGAAATAGTGTAAAACGAGGCATCCTTTTGTACTTCAAAGATGTTCATAAAGCAGTTGCTTCTGTTTCAGTGCTAAAAAGTAAATATAAATATGATCGATTCCTACTTTGAGAGCCCATCTCTATGTAACATTCTTCTGATGCATACCGACAACTTCCTTCTAACCTATATACAGATGCAAAAGAAAATTCAAAATCATACATTCATTAATTTTGAACACTGTTCTTGATAGCTTCATAATTTGAACTTCCAGGCTTAACAGAGTAATGAGACAAAGACTCTTTTCTTTCTGAATGACTCTATGCTAAAAAAATAAAAGTCTCCCACTAGTTCTGATTTCAGCTACAAACAGCACTCCAGAAAAATAACTGTATGACAAGAGATAGTCACCTTTGCTGTTTACAGTATTTTAGTATTTTTTAAAAATTGAAATCAAAAATTAAAATGTCACTGGAATAAATCTAGTAATTCTTTCAATGAATTCATGTATGTATGTATGTATATATATATATACATATATATATATATATATATATATATATATATATATATATATATATATTTTTATATATATATTTTTTTTATTGGCCCCACTAGTTAGTAAGTGGAAATCTTGGAAATCTGTGCTCACTGAATCACATGCTACTGTCCTGTTATTTATTCTCTGTATTATTTACCACAGCCCTAAAAACTACCAGTACCAAGAAACAAATGAAATGGTGCCCACCCACAAGACCTTCCAAACTAAATGTAAAACACAATATGGTTAAGACCAATGAAACCAGACAGCCCATGCCCATGGGAGGAAGGTGGACTCAGAACAGTCCACAGAGGGGAGATGAAGACAAGTACTGAGATAGCCTGGGGACCCCTCTCAATTCCCAGCATAGAAAAAAAAATCACAAGGCCTTTTAGTAGAAAGCTCCAAAGTGAGGCCAGTCAGGGTTCTGCAAATATGTTAACAGGCAGGCTTATAAACAAAATACCAGAAGAAAAAAAAAATTTGGGTAACCGTGAAGATACGAATCTATGAAAGACTTCTGAGCAAAATTTCTTTCCATAAACAAATATAATCACTTACAGTTAAGAAAATTCTAGAAGAATTTTAAAGAGTTGAAAAACATCATATTTCAGGTTGAAGACTGGCTTTTAAATGCCTATGATTTAGCACAAAACAAAATGCAGGGTTTACCCCATAAATACCACCTTAAAACAAGACTATCAACTTTTAGTGTGGCCAACATTCTACAAGGAAAAAAAACAGGTTAAAGTAGTTTCATACATAATCCTGACCTTTGCAAAAGTAAGAAGCACTTTTCAAATACTTTTCCCCCCCTCTGATCTTTGGCTAGCTCTGTTACAAAGACTTCAGACACTTTGATGTCTCTTTAAAACTCTTCTTTAAAACTACTACTGAAACTAAATCCATCCTTGTAAAATAGACCATTAAAATAGCAATTGTGTTAGAAACCTGTTTATAGGATTTTATTCAATCCTGCCTTTTAACACATTCCTCTGCTCTGAGAATATCAAAGTAAATAATCCTGAAAGACAAAGTCTTATCTATAAAATAAAGTAAAAAAATTTGAAGCTGATTTTCCCTACACCATATTTGAGAAAATCTAGAAAAACAGACAACATTTCCTGTATTTTCTCCTCTACATGAGGTTTGGAATGATTTGCAGTTGTTGTGGCCAAACCCCAGTTTCAGCAAGATTTGATATTCCCTGAAAGAATTTAATACATTAAATGTTTTTGGCTTAATTAATAATAGCTACTGCACCCCAAAATAAAAATACACAGTTCCCATCTACAGAATTCTTTTTCACTTACAGGTTTCCTAGCTTGGTCTTTTTTTAATTAACTATTGTTTCTTCAAGTAAAACCCATATGTGGTTTTGTTTTGTTTTTTTTATCGGATCTCCTCATTAGAAAATGTTAGTTAAAAAAATTTACAAGAATTGCAGAAACTAACAAAGAAACTTACAAAAAACATGGGCAGGCGTGGGGGGGGGGGGGGGGGGTGAGATAGCAAACACAGCAAACACAGTTACCCTTGACAGACACGGCTGTGTCCAACGATGGAAACAATAGCTTCATCACTTTAAAACTGGCAAAATTTAATCTCTCGCAGAAAACACACTAGGAAATCTATCCTGAAAGAGCTTAAGATACTTGGAAAGCAAAAGCACCTGCATGTTGAACTATAAATGAGCAGAACTCTTTTAGAGCAGGACATGCGGCCCACGCTCGGCGCCCCCGGCGGCCCGGGCTCTCGCCGTGCTGCAGACGAAGAACCCGGCACAGCGGCAGAGCGGCGAGAAGCGACTGGGGCAAACGACTGTACGTGTTGTTTTAGCTGAGGGGGTGGGGGTGTGTTGGTTGGGTTATGGGGGTGGTTTGTTTGCTTGGTTTCTGCTTGTTTAATTTTAAAAAAGACACCGGTTATTCTTTAATTCTTCCGTAACAAGAACTAGAGAAGAAACTGTCCCAGTCTCTCCCTACGCGCAGGCAGGGACCGGCCCGCCGCGGCACTCGCAGGTGGCTACTGCAAGGGCCACGGGCAGAGCCAGCCGGCGGCTGGGAACGAGCTGGGGAAGGGAGGCAGCAGGAAGCGCATGGGCGGGCAGGCCGAGCGGAAAGGGCCGGGCAGGTCTCCCGGGCGGCGCTGGGTGGAGCGCGACCCGCGGGCGGGCAGGGCTTCTCCCCGCGCCCTTTCTCCGCCTGCAGGACGCCCCTCGCTCGCTCACACAGGCGCTCCGTCAGCGCGTTACCTGATCAGAGCCACTACTCTCATGCTGCTCGCGGGCCGGGGGCGGTAACACTGACAGGGAGGCGGCCGGCAGCCGGCAAGCGTAGAAGGAGCCCGGTCGCACGGCCACCCTGGGCTGCGCACGCCGCCGGCTCCTCCGTTGCTACCGCTACCGCTTGGCCGCCTCCCCTCGACGGGCCTTCCTCCCGGGGCAGGCCGGCAGACTGCCTGCGCGGACCGCGGCTCGGCGTGCCGCCGGCCCCCGTGCCCCGGCAGCTGCGCTGCCTCCGCCGCGGCGCTGCGCGCTGGCCGGGGCGGCGCGGCCCGGGCGCGGCCCGGGGTGGGCGGGGGCTGGGCGCGCCCGCGGAGGCAGAGCGCCGGGCGCCTATTGAGGGCCGGGCGGCTGTGCTGGCAGGCCCGGGCCGCCTGTTGGAGGGCATCGCCCTCCTGCCGCTTCCCCGTGCCTGTCTATTGCCTTCTGAAGAACCACGGACCTGTTCTAAGTGACTGCTGCCTAGGGAGCAGGGCCCACCGAAGGAGACCACCCCTCCCCTTGGGATGCTCGCGGGGGTACTGCAGGGCACAGTCGCAACTCCAGCAGGGCCCGCTGGGAGGGCAGGAGTTGCTGCGGGGCTTTACAAGTCGCCGCCGAGCAGTGACTGCGGCAGCGAGGAGGTTGAAGAGCGGAGCTGACCAGGCTGCCCCGCTGCTCTCCGCTCGCAGGCGAGCACAGAATGGCCATCTGCATCCTCGGGTTCAGCTGCTGCAGACCGAAAATGGATCTCCTCATCTGATCCCTGTTCTGGGCCAGTTTTCTGAGCATCCTGCCATGCTCATATGACAGATACCCCTGTAGGTTTGCAAGCTAAGTCACAAGCTTACCCAGGTGTCCAATCTTTCGATACCTGGCACAGAAGTTTATTTCCCCCTTGCCGCAGAAGAAACGTGGGTTAGTTCTTTCGAATAAACTTTATTGCTAGACTAACTTTAGGAGTCCTGAAAGGCATTGCAGTTGTTGTTGTGGCAGAGTTTGAAGCAGCAGTCTAAGGGCCCGGCTCTCTCCGGGCTTTTGCTCGTGGGGCCAGTGAGGCTGAAACGGGCCGAGAAGGCACTGGAGCGCGCTGGGCTGCCCGCCTGGCTGGGGGCCGGTGTGCAGGGTCAGCGGGACCAGCGCCGTGCTCAGCGGCAGCCTCGGGACTGCCCTGGGCCAGCCTGCCTGCCACCTGCAGTGGCCAGCAATGCCCCTCCGTGCTTCCTGCTGAATTTACTCGCAGATACCACAGAAGGCTTTGTCCCTCCAGGCTGGGATGAATGCTTTATGCGTTGTGAGTGCTAACTTACCAGTCCCCTGTAACACGATATTATACAATGCTATATAACAGTCTGTACCACTCAGGCTTTACATTAGGTCCTTGCATATAGGGTGCTGAGTATGAAGTTCCCAGGAAAAGATGGAAGAAAACATTCTAAAAAAAGCACTTTGTTATAGTGATAAATGTTCCAAAATAAATGCACAGTGAAGCAAGTATATAAGTTTGGGGTGGTTTTTTTATGTACAGCTCATGAAACAGCTTGAAAAGCCATTTTTTTTTTTTTTTTTTTTAGATTATTTTAGTCAGCACATGATTTATACAGTAAATCACTGTAAAATAGGAATGAATAATTATGGGCAGATATGAAGGTGATGATGCCTTCCTAAATACACTTTTCAAAAGTTAAGAAATCACAATTAATATAAAACTTATTTGCTAAGTAGTTGTGAAAAGATAGTAAACACAAAATAGATTTTTCTGCATTGGAATAATTGCAAAAAACATACATTAAAAAAAAATCTTCATGCTTTGGCCATCACGGACTGGCATTATGAAACTGAATATTTGACTTGCCTTGAAATTGCTTACAGGGCGTTTGAGTTTCCTACTAGTTTATTGATGATGACATAATGTGTAAATTTTTGAAAGCTTTTTCTGCTCTTCAAAACATCCTAGATCTAAAGGAAAGTGTCTTAGATGTGAAATTTTGATGAAACTACAGGAATTTTTTTAGGGTTTGGGACTTCTCTTTTTAGCTCATAAAGATAATGAAGACCTGTTCTGAACTAAAAGAGAGATTTTTAGCAGAGATTACTAAAATGAATGAAACAATACTGCATAGTACATGAACTAGCAGAAAACAACCAGACCTCTGAGAAACTGTACAAAAAGTCAGAACAAAGTTATTTGATTTATTGCCCAGAAAATAAAAAAAAAGAGGAAGGTAATTTTGTGATACATCACGTCTATATTTTCTGGGTTTGAATAATAATAATAATAATAATAATAATAATAATAATAATAATAACAATAACAATAACAGTCACAAAAAAGAGTAATTCGACCAGAATATGCTTATTTGCAATACTTAGCAATGATACATGGAAAGTAAAAATCATGTGCATAAATTATTCTACTGCTTTGTAAAATTGAGAGGCCATATAATCTGTAGCTGTAATCAGATAGCATTAGAACAAATACTCAACGACTTGTAAAGATCTTCTAAGCATTGTTAGAAGATCTGCAAAGAGTAATTCTGAAATCCTGCATTTCCAAAAAGGTCTGTTATTATTAATCTATTGCTGATACAATGTAGCTGGGCTTTGGGGAGATGGTTCTATTGTATTCAGTTTTGCAGCTTCTAAAAAACTACCAAATTTCCACTTACAAGTCAGACTTGTTTGAAGTAGAAGTTAAATACAGTACTGTAGGGCCAAGGTCTGCTTCATTTACTAGTGCAACTGGAATTTTTGCTGGTACTTGATGAAGACATCAGTAGTTATTTGCACAAACAAAAAAGTGGCATTTGGGACCCAGAATTCAGGAACTATATCAAAATTTAATTAATAAAGTGGTGTTTCAAAACAAATTTGCATTTTACACAAAAGGATGCTGTTTTCAAATCAATGTGGAATATATTCTATGAGAAAATCTGTTTGCTTTCATTCACCTAATGGAATAGCTCTTGTGTAGTGTCACTGCTCTTAAAAAGTTCTGCCATATGACAGTGGACAAAAGACAGTGCACCATCTCTCAAACTGCTTGCCCCAAGACATTCTGCTATACTGCCACAGCAGCTCACACAATGAAATCCACCGAAGCTGCCTTTCATCTTGGGGTAGTACTGGCTAGTTTGTGCATACGGCCTGCAATGGCTCAGTGTTTCTTTTTCACCCTTTTCTGCCTAGAAAGTTGAAAATAATGATAATGAATTGCTATAACTGGAGGAACCTGTCAGAGGATTGAAAAAAGCAATGCAGTATCCCTAATGATCTAGAATAGTTAATTAAGTTCTCTTATAAATGAGTTCCAAAAATAACTTACTTTCAGTAAGTTATTCTGAGAAACAGTCATTTTAGCATACCTGAGCTGCAGTGCCTCTTAGCAAAGGACCAATTATCTGGTGATTGGCAGTTAAAGGTGAACTAATGAAGTTCTTAATTAAAAGATTTCCTACTATAATCACCCGTAAGTAACAGAATACTGCATACATAAAGCAGATATAACGTTAGAAGAATATTTCCATTTTGAAACAAAGGTTTTGAAAATTGTCTCTGCCTTTGCTTTCAGAAGGTCCAGAAAAGGAATGTTGGAGTTTTCATGGGTGTAGCTGGCAGTATGCCACTATTGGCCTTTATTAGGGTGTCCTGCTCTGACTCTCCTACAGTCAGAGGTGTTTTCCTCATTTAACAGGTGGCTTCATTTTTTGCTGCTCTTAATACCCAAAGTTCTCTATGTAATACAGAAAAACGGTTTGAGATTTTACAGGAGAATATGTTAGTTGGACTTTTAACTAAGAAACTCACAGCAGAGTTCCTTTAGCTGCCTGTCTTTGACAGCTTCCCTGAATTTTCACTTCACAGTAAGCAGGATATTTTCAATTTCTCTGCGAGATAAACTAGAATTATATTTTGAGAAAAAAATTCTGGTTTGTCAGCATGGGATGCATTGACATACTACTAAAATCTGAAAAAAAATAAATTGCTCGGGCAGCATCTCAGATTGTACATTCAGATGTACAAGGACTCCGGGTCCTACTGTCTACATTTCTACAGCTCAACAGATGTAAAAAGTATTGCTCTGAATGCCGCATAAGCACACTAACAGTTCATGATGCCCTACATAAAACAACCTGTTAGGATTAGCTTGGGCACCTTGTTACATTGATCATCTCTTTTTAGACCAAAATAGGCTTACATTGACTTAAAGTTGATCTCCAGCCATTCACACAGACATGGCCCTGGTGATCAGGGCTGTATGTGAAGAATGAATTATTTGGCCTATGGTCTCCTTGCTCTTAAGTGCTCCATATAAACACCACTAAATACAGCTAATCCTCTTGTACTTAGTACGTAGTAGTCAGGCAAGGCTTGTCATTTTCATAGGTGATTTGAATTCTTGAATTATGAAATTCAGCAACTTTATTTTATCCTTTGTGTAGAACCTTCTAGACCTCTTGGACTGGTATTCATTGACCACTATGACAAACAGAATTTAACCTAAGGTAGCATTATATAAGTTCTTAACTAACAGCTAATTGTCCTTATATGATGTCAGCTTTTCTAAGCTTTTGATGAACTTCATTAACCAATCTACCATTCTTCAGAGAGTCTAAAGTATAACATTAACCTTAAAAGGTCATGCTTCTGTCAAAATGACCAGTGTTTCCATCAGGGACTAGTGCAAGCTAAATTAATATTCAGTGACAGATGAACATTTTTTTCACTTGACTAAATGAGTTTTCAGTGTTCAAAATTTTTACTCTCTCTATTAGTAAAAGAACTAACATTAAATACCACCAAGAGAAACTGTTGAGTGTGACTGGCAAAATCATTAATTTACCTTTTTTTCTGTTCCGCATAATCCATGGGATTTAAATGTATTTTTCTCCATGTGAAGTTTTTAGGTACTTTCAAAACAAAAAAATATGTCTGACCACCTTCAGGTTATCAGAAAGCCTGTAATAATAAAGGAGTTTCTGGTCTATATACATCTATTTTGATTGCAATTAAAAATTTAAGTGGTGATGTTATATTTACAGATTTAAAGCACTTTCATATTCTCCTCACTTTTTCTCATGTATTAAAAAGGTGAGGGTTTTAAAAATAAAGATTTCAATTTTTTGTGGAAATTTTAAATACAAAACAAATTTGCGAGCTAATCTAATGATACATTGAAAGAAATGTAAATCAGAGATGAGTTTATTACAAAAAAAGTACATGTACAAGATTCAAAACCAAGTCTCTGTTATTTAACATGAGATGTTTTTTGTGAAACTGTATTAACTGCCAATGAGTACTGAAGACAGAAATTTTGGAGTGTTTCTGTATGTTAGAGACAATTAACCATTCTAGAGAGGAAGGAGACTAGGCTCAATAGTCCTTAAAATGTGTTCATCATCCAACAGATTTGAATCTAAAATGATAGGATTTAATTTACTGGGAGCTAGCCATCTATTGGCTGCAAAACACCCAGAAAAAAAGATATGGTCATGGATAATAATCTGTGAGAACAGAGAGAAATTAGCTATCTATTTAATGAGATTAAGCTACAGTATCTTCTCAATCATCATAAACTAAACCACTAGGATCTTGTAGGCAGAAATGGCTGAGATATTTTTACAGAGACACTGAAATTTAGAGAAACAGCTTTCAATGAAAAAAAAGTCAGAAAATTGAACTGTTACAATGAAAATCTAAAAAGGAGCCATCGTCTCTTATTGTAGTGCTATATAATTTGAGATCATTCCTCACTTACTAAATAGTTCTGCAGTTCATCATTGATGAAAACATTTGAGTAGGTTAAAGCTGGTGAAGTTTCAGGGGAATAATCAAACAGCAAGTTTTTTTGGCCCATTTGTTTCATTGCAAAAATCTTCCTGTACCATAAAATATTTATAACAGAGCTATAAGTAATAAAAATTACTATTTTCTTTTCATTCCGCTGTTCCTATATGTTCAATTTTGTCAGTAGAAATAGCATAACTTTAACAATCAAAACAGATTTTAATTTGTCACAGTTAATACTCTTCATCTCACAGTTAGATTTTTCAGGAGAGAATTAATCTAGTAAGTATGGAGCTGTTTTGACCTAATTAGCAAAGTAGTGAGCTTAATTTTGAGTGATACAGAGAAAGCATTTAATTGCTGAAAAGAAGCAGCAAATCAATTTCACTTTCCAATGTCCTGTTGAACTGTATGACATCATGTGTAGTATAGACCACTTGACATAATCTGCCTCTGATTTTGAGTCCTGAAGGAAGGGTGGCTGTGACAGTGCCCTTTGAAATAACATTGAAGCTTCAGCTCCCATGTCAACATCATGCTCTAATCAGTGCAGTCTTTTTTGTCACAGGGTCTTCCACCTTATAATTGACCCTGACATATGCTATTCACTCTACCCCTTGGCTTTGGACATATAATTCCTGTCATGGTCAATTATTAGGTGATAGAGCCTGCAACCACAGGGACCGTTTCTTAAAATCATCCTACACAGTAAGCCCTGAAGTGACCAAATTCACATCTAACTGGAGGGACAGAGGGGATCTAGTCTTTGATAAAACTAATATTCTTTTCACTTCTATATAGAAAAATGTCAATTTTCATCATCCTATAAGTTACTGAGACAAATGGTGACAGTGCTATTTCTGAAACAGGTTAAGGAAAAGTACAAAAACCTTTATCAAACTCAACACACTCTGAAATGAGGAAATTGTCTGTATGAGCATACAGTACGCATAAAAATTAGATTACACTACATTTGAAAGGCAGATGAGAGTTTAAGAGTGACAAGTGGGCAAATGCTAAAAATAAGGGTATGTTACTTCCTTTCCAACACTGCTTTGTCTGTATGCTTTCTTTGATGTTATTTAAGCTTTGAAGTAAAGAAATACTTTTCAAGACCCTGAAAGGTACTTCTGATGACTATATTGATAAGAACTGGTTTTGAATAAAAAGATCTCTTGTGGTTTTCCTATTGATTCTATAATGCCTGAGAAATTGCACAATGACAAAAACGAGGACACCTGCTCTCTGGTCTTCATGTAAGCATTATGATTTTCAAAACCAAACTGTTTTGCAGTCATTGTATTTCTGCAGAAATGTTAAAAAAATCATTACAACTTCAGGAATATGAGCTGACATGAGCAAAAGTTTACCATCCATCTGCAAAGATGGAAAGGCAGTTTTGTGAACTACTAGTTCACGTCACAGATTCTCTGTCCGTAGCCAACTATGCCACTAACCCACTAAACACCGTGTTTTTTGCTGTATGAACATTAATTTCAATTCGCTAGGTGCCATTGCCTGTTTATTTGGGTTTGGGTTTTTTGGTTGGTGGGCTTGTGGGTTTTTTAAAAAAAAAAATTGTAGGGAATTTTAATAATCTATAGTATTTTCAAGTCACAAATTTTTTCTCTGTGGGAATGTTAGACTGGTTTGTTTCCCTGCTGACAATTTACTTAATTCTGTTGTATATAGAACACAGTTCAGAAATAATCTGTAGAAAAATCTTGCATATCTGCTGAGTTTTACAGGTAATACAAGATATAATATTCTGAAATATGTGATTTGGTGATATCTTTATTGCATCTTTTAGCCTGAATAGACAAAGCTCTAATTAACATTCATACAATTATCTAAGTCTTTAAAATCCCATCTGTCTTAATGATGTATACATAGCATAGCAAGCCCAATAAATACCAAGCACATACAATGCAAATGCTTTTAATTTAAACTATAACACTGCTTACTGAAGCTCTTGCACATACTCTGTGGTTCAAATGTATGGTTGTTATAAGACTTGAAAACCTTCCTCCTGAAGCACACAGTCCTGTATATATCTCAGAGCTGTTAGTTCAACAAATGCTGTTACTTTGTGCGATTTCCAAACAAGTAAACCTTGGAAATGACTCAGCTACATATATTACCTGGTGTGTAACCTGGCTCAGGTGTTTGCAAGACAAAAACAAAAACTAACTTTGACTGAACATAGGAATTTATGTGAATGCTGAATTTCCACACCTTCAGAATTTAAAAAAAAATTAAAGTGCTGTTCTTAACATGCATGCTTTTATCTACCCTGCATGTATCATGTGACATTCTAAACATTCTATCGTAGAAGAGTTAATTCAGCTTTCAGCAGTGGGCAGTCTGTGAAGCAAGGAGAATGACTCCTGGCTGCTTTATGGTTTAAAGCATGATTGAATATACTAACAGGGCTCCAAGAAGTACTAATTTCAATATATATAATCTATTTTAAAAATATTTCATCTCTGTACAGGTCTCATCCTCTCAAGAAGTGGAACATCTCTATTGCACTTAAGAAGATGAGGCAATAGAGCCCAAAAGTACTGACACACCACCAGTGATCTGAATCTTGAAATTTTATTCCCTGGTCAGTAACTTGTTGATTGTTGCTTGATCATTCCTGCTACTTCAGTTGCTCTTTGTTTCAGTTCCTCTCTATATAAAGTGACATAGCTATACCTTGCAGAGTATTTTGAGAATTATGGGAGTGTACAACTGAGTAAGATACAAAACATCATTGTAGTATGTATTTTTAAGAGTCTTTTTATAAACCTTTTAACTCCATTGCTCTAAAAATCATTCTTATCATTAAGATTATGGCAATTAAGGGAAATAATTTTTGTTTAATCAATGAGATAATTTATAGTTACACAAATTTGTAAGATAAGCTTTTTTTCAATGTTTATATACAGGTTCTTCTGGGAAAGTAGACAGGGACATCACAAGTAGTATTTAAATCTCACCACGGCAACTGATTTTTCTATGCTTTATCAAATAACATATTTGCAAAACTGCCAGATGGGGAGAGAAACTGCAGTGAGAAAATAATGGTGAGGTTTGTAGTACAGGAAAAAAGGATCAGACATTAGATGCATTATTTTAACAGCGTGAGAAACTTTAAACATTTAAAAAACTTCTTAAATAGAAGCTTTTCATTGATCTCTCTTTGGCAAGGATAGCAAAAGGAAAAGGTGAAAGAAAACCATACAGCTAAATCTGACACAAATCCTAACCAAACACAATTAATAAGGAGTATAAAAATGGTAAATATTTGAATGATAAATCTTGTGGTAGTATGGGAGGCAGGTTACTATAAACTTTGCATTAGAGATTTTTATTAGGGTTTATCCAGTCTCTCCTAATTCCATTATGGATACTATTGGTAAAAAACAGCTTTGAAAAATTTGATTCTCCTAGGCTCTTATGCATACTACAGCATTAAAAGCAAACACTTAAAGATAAAAAACTTGTGAAACCTCAGTGCATTTTTTTAACCCATTTGTAGGCAGCATTAGATCAACAACAGAAATAATTGCTGTCACTTTGTACTTTTTGACCAATAATTCTCTGTATTTTCTGCAAGAAACTTGAGTGATGCAAATGACCTTATTTTTACAGCATGCTTTTATTAAATAGTTTATTATTTTGGCAGACTAATAAAGATTTTGGTATTTGCTTTTATTTGCAATAATATTACCACGACATAAAAAAGGATTTTATGTTCTTTTTGAGGAACAAGGAGGATAAAAGTGTTGATGGATAGTGCAACTAAGGCATCAGCAATGAGCTGGAAATGAGACACATAAATATGAAAGCAGAGCTAAGAAAATAGAACTGCACCCTTGGCCTTTCTTAAAAGAACATGCACATGCCATGGTTCATTCATACAGTTACAGAAACTCCTTTTGTTTTCAGTGAGTCAGTGAAAATATGCAAAGACTAAAATATTACTAAGATTCTCAGTTGTTTGGCATATTTCTGTAGTTAATGTAGTTGTGAAATATTTGAAAACATTTAGAGAAATGACTGTTGATGATGCTTTTTTAGAAGACGTGTATTTTCTTTGAAGTATAAAGTTGTCCTTTTTTCTAGTTACGTCTTAGACAAAGGTGGTGAAGCAATATCAGTGTTCAGTTTTCCCTTTTTTGCCCTTCAAACAGACCTAACTCTTTAAAGATCAAAGAGCTGAGACCTCATAGCCAGATCAGACAATCACACCAAGGTTTTAAAAACAAAATTATCAGTCCTGTAGTAGAAAAAAAAAAAAAAGAAGCCTAGGTAGCATGTAATAGAATTAATCTTATTTTATATTGGATGGGGAGTTTGGTTTCAGACTGAAAAGATTGTGACTATAGTATTCATTTTGCAATAATCGGAGCTCCTTGACAATGGGTGGTGTTAGGTGCAAGGGGTATTCAGCAATAAGAAATGTATTGATTCAAATAAATAATTGCATGTGTCTTGAAAATAATAGTACTTTCTTGATTGAAGGTGCTTAAGATTTGAATTTTGCTTATAGCCACTCTTCAAAAAGACAGTGGAAGTAGAAAAATATGAACAGAACAAATTCCACATGAAAGAAAGCTAAACAGGCAAACAAAACTTTTCCTCATTGGAAATTTGTTTGTTCCATTTGCCTCTTCTAAAAGGCAGCCAGTAAATAGGAATCACAAAGTATGAGTTTCTTAGAAGAATAAATCTAGCAATTAATTATATGTCAAGGCAAAAGAATCAAAAAACTGCTTATGCCCATTGCCAGTCATTCACTCCCTGTCAGTAGTAGTTCACATCTTTCCTGGGATGGCATCCAACCACAGTGGCATCTAAAATATAGCAGGCTATATTGTTACAGTTGGAGGTGAAATTGAAAGTTGCACCAAACAGAAGTGACAAATTCACATTGCTCAGTGTTGCCTAGCAATAAGAGATGAGTTTGTTATGAACACTTGACTCTATATCCATCGCAAGGAGGCTTTGTATTCACACCAAAATGCCACTAGTCTTACAGGCAAAAGGGGCAAAAATAGGGTGGGCAGGAGGGAACAATTACAGCAGTTGTAAGTAGTTCTGTATCCAGTTGAAGTCTTTGAGATTGGCCAGGTAGCTTGTTACAGACCTTAATTGTGCTTTTGAATGCCCTTAGTAGTTCTGTTTCATTAGTAATGGCTTGTAGTTCAGGCACTGCAAATGAAATCTTTACTGAATGTTCCCAAGAACTGCTCAGTAGTTGTTTTCATTGTGCAGAGCCTTCCATTTGCTTCTGCTCTATTTTCTTATTTTCTTTTTTTTTTTTTTAATAGGAAAAGGACAAGTCATCAGGGAGCTTTTTCCTCCTCAAGGTATCCTTGAAGACCTTACTGGATACCCACTCACATATTTAAGCACATAATCAATTTTAAAAATCAATGGAATAGTTTCTATTAAACTGGCCCCCCCTCCAATAACTGATCTGTTTCTGTGTTTTTATGCCATCTGCATTTTTGACAACTGAATATTTTTGACAGCATGGTCCATTGTGTCCAAGTTCACATCATTTTTTTTTCTCTCTTTTTTTAAAACATCATATGACTACATATGTAATAAGAAAATGGGTTATATCACACATTTTGCTGTACAGATTTGGGTTCACAGTGGATTTTCTGAACTGACAAAAATTGTACAAGAAGTATTTCTATTATAAGAGTGCATTTATTTTATAGACATGGTAGATTAATGAAATGCTATGTAAATACATTGAAAATACAAAACAGTTGTGATTTTAAGAAGCTTTAGAAACAAAAAAATAAGGATGCAATTTAGAGATTATATAGTTTAGGTAAAATAGAATAAAATATACATAAAAATGTGTTCTCTTGTGAAATATTTAATTAAAAATGCTAGTGCAGACTTACCTCCTTAGCTTATATGTTCATCTAGCCAAATTAACTGAATGTATGAAAATTTGAGAGTATAATTTTTATATTTTGTGTGCAAAAATGCAGCTATTGTCTCAAATTGTGACTTAGGTAGTAAGCATTGAAGGTACAAAACTGAGGTACTTGCATTTTGTAAATGTTTTTGTAAAAGCCTTTAGTAACTTTGGTCCTTTCTTTATTTCAGATTCAACGTGTTGCAAACATATTCCACCTGTTACAACAATCTGGCATATTACTTCCTTGATACGTGATGATACAATACCTCTCAGGTTTGCTGAGTAGCAAAGAGAAATGTAAGCAAATGAAAAGGTTTTCCACTTTCACAGTTTTTTTCTGCTTGGGGTTCTGTTTGTCTGAGAACCGTATGAATAGAAGCCATATTTTATAGTATTTCTTTAACCTCTGCCATCTGGTGTAGGTTAGTTTTTCCACTGCCAACATATCCTAGAGGCCCCAGTACCAAAATGTTTAATTTTTAAGTAAACATTTGGACTTTATAAATCCAGTTTAAAAAAAAAGAACATTATTTTTTTAAACTTTATACTACGTTTGCCACTACTGATGACATTAATAAACACACAGACAGGTATATGGGTTTAAAGGCTTCTGGCCACAACTTTTCCGTAGCCAACCTCTGGAGATGTCAGGTCACCTGGTATCTTTAATCACCCAGTCATGCTCAGTTGTCAGGAAGGGACTTGAATATTCCCTACTGACCTAAAGCCTGAAGTTGTGTCAAGGGATTTGCACCACCACAGCCAAAGCTTTCCAAATCAAGTATGATTTCAGGCAAATAATACTCACCCATGCCAAAGCCAGAGCTTTAAATTTTTATTTTTTAAAAATTTAAACAAAAGTCATTTTGCTGCATCAAGAGAGTATTGGTTGCTACAAAAGAATTTAGGCAAGTAACTAACCACTTAACAAAACCAAAGAATGTAATAACCATATCTCTAGAAACTTCCTTATGTCTGAGGAAGAATAAAACCACAAAAATCATGTGCCAGATTTCTCTCTACCAAGAGGATAAAGTCCTTTTTAAACTTACAAAAGTATAGTGTTCCACTTTGTACTAGGTAGCAAATGATCAGATTTCAGTTTGAAAAAATGCAGTGCTGTTGATTGTCCCAAGCTGATTATTAGTCAGAGTGAAAAGTTGAAAACTCCTTGCTTGTGCTGAGCATGGGCAGGCAGACTGAATTACCTTAATCAGTATAGTATTCTTCAGAGACAAACAGTCACCAGGTAAAAGACACATAAATGATATGGATGCACAGATTATAGAGGAAAACATTTAAAGCTGTGTATAGGCAAGTTCTGAAGGGTAAATAAAAGATAAATAACTAGTGTCTTCTTACTTAATATTGATTTAGGGAAAGTTCTGAAAAAAAAAATAGGAATTTCCACTTCTTTACATGCCCACCTGATTAAATTTTTGTGTGGATGTGTGTTTTTCCCTAAATTCTAAAATATCAAGGATATTGAAGGTTTGCCACCTTCACCTGATGCACTGCCTAATCCTGATGAGTATTCAGAAACATTTCTGGCATGAAATTAATTTTTAATGAAAATTCAGAAATGGTCTTCACTTAGTGTTTATTGAGTTTTAAATGAAACAAGTCTTAAAAATAGGGAACAATAAATTAATTAGACATAGCTCTTTTTTTGAGCACTGAGCTATTGTGCAAAAGTTATACCCATTTAAATGAATTTAGAATTTGATTAGTTTAATCAGTGTGATTTGGTAATGAAGATTCATGGTATTTGTGAATTTAAATGATAATTGTTCTGGGGATAATTCTTCTTACTGGACAGTATGGATGAAGAGATGAGGTATCCCCTTTCAGCCAGTCTGGTATGTGAAATTCAGTGCAACTTTGCAAGACCACTAATTGCATTTATTTTATTATGCTGAGTTACAAACAGCAGCATCTGGGGAGTGAACATCCTCTCTCTGCCACAGGGATAGTGACTTCTTCTGCCTGGATGGACAACTGGTTAAATTTACTCAGTATGAATCATCAGAAAAAATAGACAGTGCCCACACTGTGATTTTTTAGTCATCAGTGAAACTTGTTTGGTTTAATTTAGTAATTTTCTAATTCTAGCTTGAGACCATTTACTTTTTTCATTGTGGTTCTTAAACCTATGTTCATTGGAATGGCAGCTTAGACATGCCCTGAAAGATTTACCCCAGTATTTCTTTGTAACCATTGATTATCCCTACAAATCAGTGCTCACATTTGTGTTGTGCCTGGACTCACCCTGTCCCTTCAGCACCTCTTACCAATCAGCTCATTCTCTTTGCTTTTGATTCTCAGTGAACTCTTCCCTGGATGTTCTGTGCTTGGCTAGGCATTGTAAGAGTGGATTTAGCCTTAACAAACAAAGCCATCTTTTTATCTTCCTTCTTCTGCCACAGTCTTCCCTATAAACTTTTGGTCAGTGTAAGAGAATTTTTAAAAGGACTGGAGATCTCAATATTCATGCAGGTTTTTGAACATAAACACCTGTTTAAGAATTAAAATAACCAAAGTCAGAGCTCCAGCAAGGAAAAGACTAGACTTGGTTGTTGCATGTTTGGCCATTCAGTAAACATGCAGCACAGCATGTCACAACACTCTTGCTGTTTTTTTTATCAGTAATAAAAATATATAGTAAGAATCTGGGAGTAATTTTCATTAAATTATATCTTTTGGCACTTCTCTCTTAAACTGGATGTAAAATTGGTCCTAACTCACAATCTCCCCCAGAACAGATAGGAGGGGAGGAACCTCAGATTAAATACCAGCACACAGACTGAACTGATGCCCAGGTCCTGAGGGATGAGTTCTTGGCTCTGACTTTTTTCTCTTATTTTCTATTTAATAGCAACCTTCTCTTTTTTTCACTAACATAAATGCAATTCAGATTTGTCTGCACCTGGTCTACCTGCGAAGTGTGGACTTAGGGTTTCACTTGGCAGCCCCTTTCCATGTTGGGTATTTTATAATGCCATTGTGAGGCTTTAAGTAGTCTTGACATGACTGCACTGTAATCAGTCCAATAAGGAAAAAACTCTTATTATTTAAATTCTCTATAGAAGTGAATGTACCTACATTCAAAGTGGTGGTGAAGTATGTGGATTTTTATCAAGTGTAAATTAGTTTCGTGATTTATAAGATTGTTATGTTTGCTGAGTACCCAAATTCTGCCCCAATAATTACTGGGTTTTTTCAATGTGATCTGCATATAGTGTGTATATATTCCCTGATTTTATTAGGTGACATGCATGGAGAAAAAGAAGAGGTTCTCTTAATATTATGCATAACATATCCAGGAACAAGGAATAATAAACAGTCTCTGGAACTTGGCAGAAGTTTAATTCAAGGGCCATCATGGACTGGATAGTTTTGGTTTTGTGTAATAAGTAGTCAAATAACATTCAGAAATTGAAAGTGTATTTTTCTATAATACACATTTTCAAGCAGGTTTCTTGGCATGCATTTTGTTTGTACTGTGCTTGAAGTTGTTTATGGCATTAGTGGTTAGTGTGTTTGTGCATGTTTGCATTCTGTCTATTTATGAAGTATTTCACTGGTACCCTGACACAGCATGTGGTCGGTCGAAGATGATATTTGATAGCGTGTGTAGTCATGCATTTTGGTGAAAGACTTTAAAGTAAAGTGGGTTAAACCCTGGTTATCTGCAGTTATGTAAAGAGACTTATAGGTTGTATATCTTCACAGGACTTAGATACAAAAGGTACTGCACCATTTCAAAGATGAAAGAGTGAGTTGATGCCAATTTGTCCAACAATCATGGCAATTTGAGTTGCATAAAGATAGGCCAATTCTATTAATAACTGGAACATTTGTATATTTTTATTATAATAAATGTCAAAAATAATTAGCAGATGACTCATTCTATTATAATAATAACATGTGTGTAATTTTTGAAATGAACTACGGAAGCAAAAACAAACCTCTAACAGGGATAATTTAAGTCACTTCAGTCTCTAATTGACAGCTAAGTATAGGCAATACTTTCAGGACCCAGACACAGGGCTGTGAAATTAATCTGTGAATTACACTGGGCTTAGAGTGTTAGTTGATACTTTTCATGGTGTTTTGAAAGTATAAGTTGTTCAGCATGTATTTAATGACATATTACTACATAAGGAATATTACTTGCAGAAAATATAGATGCTGAGCAGCTCTATACACTTACAGACATCAGTTCTGTAAGGATTTTATGGCTGTTACAGAATAAAATATTATTGCTTTATTTGGATGCCTAACTGCAATTTTAAGAGCACTATTCTTCCTATGAATCTTGAAACTTAAGGGAAACAGAGCTGACCAATAATTATGAATTTTTTAAATAAAAATTCCACTTGTAAGTACTATTTCATTACTATTGTTAATAAAGTTCTTCATGGTAGGAAACTCCATCGTATCAGCTTTGATTTTCTTTCTTTTGGGCCAATTTACAGTTTTTTCATTGTGCTTCTTAAACCTTCTTCCGTTGGAGTGGAGAATTTTTTTTTCATACAGGTCTCTTTTTTTCCCCCACTAGAGTAATATTAGACATTTTTCTAACACTTC